GTCGGTGAACCGAGGTGTTCAACATGAGATGAATGAGATAGAAATACGCTGAGAAAAACCGTGTAAGTTCTGGCTGTAGCCCCATGACCACATAAGCCTGCAAAGGAGGCATTAGCAGAGCTGGCAGAAGCAAAGCACTTCACTGATCTAAATCGCCCCATTCTTCCTTATCAGCAGTGTGTGGGGAGCAATACTCAGGTAGCCCCCCACAGGCCCATCGCTAAAAACCCTAATATCTGTGGACGTCCGTGGCCACGGCCCAATCTGCTGCGGCGGTCGATTTGTTTCACGCACTGCCAGAAGTGCTTTGTAATTAGGCTGATATTGATGAGGCCTGATTCCAGCAGGTAATCACTGGCAGTTCAGCTTCTCTCCGCTCCTCAGCAAAATGTCTCTATTTATTATAGAGCTTTTGCTATCAATTAAAGGCCACTCCATGCACGGCTCTTTGATAATCAGTCGGAAGATTTCCATGGCTGTCGGAGGGCAGATATGAAATCTGGATAAGCATTCTCCATCGATGCCTCGGGAGCATTTCGTTATAACAATACTGGAGGATTCGGCATTAGAAAGGCCTCGCTTGAAGGACTGTTTCATTAAAAGTCCATTTCCTAAATAAGCCCGTTCTGGAAAAACAATGTAAATAAAACAGTGATTTCCTAAGAGCAGGCTCTGCCAGAGTTACGCTTTTGTGTCTTGATTTTGCTCCTGCATACTTATTATTTAGGCTTAGTTGATTGTGTGTGCATTACATATGTGTGCATCGTACAGCTCCGTCTGCGTCCCTGGGCCGAGTGTGTTCTGTGGATTACATCTCTCCTGGATTCTGTCTGTGTCTCTGAGGAGAGGACACCATTTGGGCCCCACTCGTATCCTCCGGCTGCCTTTTCCAATCACTGCCTCTCTACCTCTTCTTTCTCCCTACAGATAAGCAGCCAATCAGTGCAGGTGCTAGTTCATGCAGGGTAGGGGCATGGGGCGGGTTCCATGGCCCCGGGCATGAAAGAAGCACTGGCACCCACGACAAAGACTCTCTCTCTCTCACACACACACACACACAGATACTCACACATTTGCACCCGAATGCAAGTGTGTGTTAAAGGGGGAACAGAGAAATCTGTTGTTTTTCTTTCACTCTTTTACCACACTCACTCCCCTCCAGCTGTTATGTCTTCGTATCGATCAATGGTGCTCCCTGCATCGGCGAACTATTCATATTTGATTCATTATTGTAATATCGGCCTGTGTTGCGCCTTCCTAAATTGTGGCTTACGCTTATAAGCGAACGAGTTATGAGTATGAGTGAACTTGTATGCTAGACGGTTAAATAATAGCCTTGCTATATTCATTGCTATTGAAATAGCCACTTTGCATCACATTATGCAAACTCATAAGAACACATTTGTAGTGTTTGTCGCAATATTTCCTTTTTTTTTTTTTTTAAATAAAGCCTATTTCAAAAATCTCTGGACAGTTGCCATTTACTTTGGCACTGGCCCCAAATAAACAAAATCATTAGACCAAGTCTTAACAGAAAGCATGTGCTGTTTGTAACCACTAAGATGTTTTCACATAAATCCCTCGTGAATGGAATGAGAGATACAGCGTGCAAAATACCAGAGGAAAAGCAGTTTTAAGCAGACTGCCCCTATGGCTGATTGTGTCAGCCACAATGGACGCTGTAAGCAGTGTGAAAGCTTTAAGGTGAAAACGACACACGCTGTGAGATGTGCTTATCCCATCACGAGCCAGTAAGGATTTTAGGAAAAGCATGATGGAAATTATGACTGGAATAAGCCTGCATCTTACCACTAAAGCTTAAAGAATCCAGGCCCATCTCTCTCTTTTTCCCTCCTTTTTCTTGCCCTCTCATGTCATGCCACTTCTAGCCCTTTTTTTTTCTCAAAAGACACAATTTCCACATTTCAGCCTGTGGAATTTGCTATTCCTTTCTCGATCTCTAAAACCACACAGCTCTTTTGACTTTCAAGGAACTTACTTTCTGGACTACAGCCACTTTCCAAAATTCCCGGAAAGGAGGAGAACATTTATTAAACTTTTTGAAAAGACAACAAAACCATCTTCACGAGATAGTGGTGAAGTCACAATATCATGCTCTACAGTTAAGGACGATAAAGCAGTCACACTTTGTTGGTCTTGCAATAATTTTGACATGTTCCAGGTTCAGTAATAATTGATTATAATCATTTGTTATATTGTTTGTTATGTTGCCATGGCAATTAACATGTGGATGTAACTTTAAAAAGAAATGGTAAGACATTTTTCCATTTTGATTTTTGTGCTAATTAACATTTTGCCACGAGTGCTGTAGATTGAGCTGAGTTGTATTGAATGTGGATTATTTCTTTAATTTACATTTTGACATTTCATGTAACTGATATGAAAAGTGATTAAGAAGTGTAAAAAACGGTCTAAATAGAAAGAATGTTAAAAGTCTTTATATGTCTTAAAAACAAACATTTAATTTAATAGAATTCTTCAACCTTATACTGTACACCTTTGTGACATGTGACATTTTTCATATTTGCGAGGGTGGCTCACAGAAACACCTCCAGCAGGCGTGTTATCCCTGAGTTAGCTGAGTTTGGCCAGAACTAGCATGTGATTAATGTGAAGCTCACTAACCCCCATGGTGAATTGGAGACCAAGGGTCGAATCTATTTTTCTTTGTGAATGCTTGTGGCTAAACCTGAGCGCAAACGTTGTTCATCATTGCGCCACATTAGCTCGCCAGAGCATTGACTGGCACAAACCAGAAGCGTGTGCCCCTTCACTTTGATTAATGTTCACAAACACTCACTCCAACTCTATCATGAGTGAAGACCTGGCATCTATTAGGAGTGGTGCACACATACATATAACCCCTGGAATAAATGCTGGCCTTTGGCTCTGAACCCTCCGTCTGATTTGTTCATACATAGAATAGTGTGAAGGAGATGGATTTATTATTATTATTATTATTATTATTCATTAAAGTTGCTCTCACCCCACATCCGAATACCTCCAGACTAGTATGCAAAAAATAGTATGTCAAATAAAATATGCAATTTTCACAAAGTATGTGGAAAAATCCCTGGATGACCTGCTAGTTCTGTTAAGATTCTGAGGTGCATCTCTGATGGACATTTTACTATCCCACTACTAGGCCATGGGAGAGGATTTGCCAATGGCAGAGAACAGTAATTTGATTGTCATTTTAGGTCACATGACAAATCCGACCTGTCAGATGTAGCATGTCCAGATATTTATACTTCATTGAAGACCATACTTTTTAACAGTTCAGAAGTACATAGGCTAGTTTAATGCTTTACTTTAATATTTTTATTTATCACAGTTGTACCAAGAATGTTGGTATTAACGCCTATCAGCCTTGATTCTGACAGTTATAGGCCATTTCGAGGTGGTGGGAATAAATACTGAATGTTTCTGGTTTGGTGCATATTGTTGAATAATCAGGCCAAGAACAGTTATGAGGCTATTTTACATGACATTTAGGGACAGGCATCAAAAGAGATTCAATGTGATCAAAAATTTTGTTTATTTGCAACTCCCACAAAATTCTACTTCATGGACAGACCACCGTTTCATACAGCAAACAAATTGGCGGCCTATATATTTAACTAATTAGTCTATCTCTTTTCTTTTTTTTTAAGTACATTTTTTTGAGTTAATTAGATTAATCAAATTTTTTATGTGCTGAAAATTTCCTTAGTGCATTCAGTTTTAGCTGTTTTAATGCCAATGTTTTTGTGTTCACAGCATTAAATAAAATTGACATTAGTTTTAAAAATATAAGCAAATGTATAAATAAAACGGCTAGAAACACTAAGGTCATGGGTTCGATTCACAAGGGAGTGCATGAACTGTAAAATAACTTGAATGCAGTGTAAGTCATTTTGGATAAAAGTGTTTGCTAAATACATAAAAATGCATCTATAAAGCAATAGAGTACCAATATACTTCAGTACCAATATTTGCTCTGTATCTTATAAATAAATAAATAAGTAAAACTCTTACTAAATATGTGTTTTAGTACACTATTTTAAATGTTAAACATTCTAAAAATGTAATCTAAAATTTTAAAACTATTTATTATTTAAATATTATTATTTATTTATTATTTTTTGATTTTCTCAAGTTATTTAGCTTTAATTTTAGAAATATTTTAAAAGTCTAATTTTGATTAGAAAGGTGGTGGTTTTCTTCCAAATATATTTAGTCTCTGAGAATTGATTCAGTTACTGTGTACCTGGATAAATATTATTTTATTTTGTATTTTAATTACAATGTTTGTTTTTTACAAAACAATACACAGACATTAACAGATAATAATAATTCAATAATAATAATAATAATAATTAAAAAAGAAGTATTAAATACATTACAAACTGGAAATAGTTTTGAGAAGTCATTGAAGACAGGAAAATAATTGCAAACAGATAATGTTTTTGTTGTTGTTGTTGTTGTTGTTTTTACAGCTTTTTTGTTAATAATTTAAACAATAAGAGGTAACGTTATTGCTCAGATTCTATGAAAACAAAAAAGTGAGGTCTGGAATTTTAATATTTGGATCTGTGAATGTGGAATGTTGCAAAACGGACCACTACAGTGTGCCAAAGGTATTTTTGTGTGTGATGAACGACCTGGGGCCCGTTCTTCGTACGTCGCTTATTACATCCGAGATGAAACTTCACATCCAAGATGATATCATCGCGCTAATCAGGATCTGGCTAATTCGGTTCTTTGAACGCACCTGTTGTTGATTGATAGTATGGCTGGATTGAGTTATCTGAAATAATTGCGCGTTCATGGGTTGGTTTAAAAGGGGCTATGTATCGATACTCGAAACCACGATCAGCAATGCAGCGATTGGCTGGCGGCAAGACAGCAACGTAATGACATCATATAATTTAAAAAGTATTAAAGACTACACAACATTATTATATTATCTTTAAATTAATTTTTAAATGATTATTATTTTAAATTATTGTCCCTGGATTAGTAGGGTACTCTTGTAATAAAGTCGCGGTGGTAGCGGACAGATTTTAAGTATCAATTCTGCTTAAAAAGATGCCATCTAATCCCGTTTACATGAAATAAGCCTGCTCCCGAGCAGGTTTAAGTTTACGGACCTGTTGCTATGACAGCAACTCCGGGATGAGCTTCCAAGAACCAAACAATCCAAGATCACGCCAAATCATCACCAATCAAATCCAGCTAACTGAGTTAGCGACGTACGAAGAACGGTCCCCTGATTTTTTTTAATTATTATTATTTATTTATTTATTTATTTTTTAATAGCTTGAAGTGATGAACGACCTTGCTTGCTTCAAGGATGTGATGTAGTCTTCACTTCCTGTCTAAGTGCGAGTCGTCGTGCAAACATGGCTGCCTCCGGTTGCAGAGGCGTGAGGTCGATTTTATGGAAGTATAGGAGCTGCGGGAAGAATGTGTGTGTGCGCCCCGAACAAAGATGGTCCCGCAGGTGAAATGCCTTCTTATTTTTGCTCCGGCACAGTGCTGTTTTTGCGACAAGCCAGTCATGTTCGATAGTGATGCTGCTGAGAGTATCATGTCCTTGTAACTGTATAGTGCTTTTGGAGTCTGTATAAAACATGTAGATTGACAGGATGGAGTGCTATCCTCCCGTTTCATTGCATACATGTTGCGTTAATAACCTGCACTATTTGAACGGTTTATATTGTGTATTTTATGCAATACGGTATGGCTTGATGTCCTTTGCACCAGCTGGCTAGTAGATAATACAGATGCAGCTTTAATTCAGAATTGAAAACGAGTATAATCATTACTTTTATTTTGAATAGTATTTATAATTAAAACTTTTACTATTTGGATTATTTCTTCTGTACTCATTATTGATATTTCATTATTTTATGAGCTTGATCACAAAGGTTGCTTGTTGTAGCCTTGTTCTTTGTAGCAATTGACAAAAATTGGTTCTTATTTGTTGTTATGTTTTTTCTTAATTCCAGCTGCCAGTCAGACAGATTTACGTGTCATCCTCTTTATGGAAGAAGAACCTGGCAGCAGCAGGCCCTCAGAAATTCACACAGGAGTTCATCGACAAACAGGTGGAGGAGTTTGAAGTTGGCAAACGACACTTGGCCAACATGATGGGGGAAGACCCAGAGACATTCACACAAGAGGATATTGATGTGAGTTACATTTTGATTCTATTCTATGCTATGTTCAGTCTTATTCTTTTTTTTAGTACATATGTAAGTGTGTGTGTGTGTATATATATATATATATATATATATATATACACATATATACATATATATATATATATATTTATGAAGTATCGTTGATTTCACCAATTAATCAGTAGGCTTTGTTCTATTATTCTTTTACAATCTGAGTAACAAATACTGTATTTGTTTTTAAAATAAAATTAAATATAACAAATACTGAGTAACACATATTCTAACTAATAGGCTAAATAAAACAAGGTGATCACTTCAGCTTTCAATAAATATCCAATATCAAACAATTCTATTACTATTACAATTTCAAAAATGTTTTACCATACAAATAAATATATTTGGCACACAAAATGAGATGACAGAGACTTTCTCATTCACCATTTAGTTAACTGTATGAAGAAGTAATTGACTGAATGATGCTTCATTCTGCTTAACATCTCCTTTTGTAAGTTATAAATGGAACAAAATAAAGTGCCAAGACCTTTATTTTCGATAAATTATTTTATTCACAACATTAGCTCTCTTAAACACCTTATAGTGTTATAGTTATCAAAACAGTCCTGAGCTACATCAAGCTTTAATCTATGCAAACCAAACTATAATTTTATTGTAATGATTTTTTTAATTGATTTGTATTTATTTATTTTTGCATTCACTGTTAAAACGATTCTATCATTAGCTAGGTCCACACTGGACAGCTGCTTTATAGCAGAAAATCAAGTTGTAATTATAACTGAAAGCTTTTTTTTTACTGTAAAGCTGTGTGCTTTAAATCAATCTATTGTATAAAGTGCTATATAAATAAACGTGATGTGACTGGAGTGCCATTTGCAGAGTTGGTGCAAACATATCCACATCGCTATGATCAGATGCCTTCTTAACTGCGGTTTTCTCACCACTGTCATTTTTGTTGTGTGTTTATTTCATTATTGAGAGCACATATTTACATATTAATTTAAACTCTGCTTTCAGCAGCGTCAGGTTCGGCTGTGGAGTCTGTGTCTTCTCTTGAATTTCATCCAGTAGAGCTGAATTGCAGGCTCTTACATTAGGTCATATGAGATCAAACGACTATTCGACAACAAAAACTACTTTTGAATGCATTTGGACGATTAATCGCAGACAATCTATATATATATAAAAATATATATACATGCTTTTGTTTATATATGAGAATGGACAGAGTATACCTTCTCCTGCTTCAGCTGTTAAACTGACTTGTCATTTTGTTCATAGTCAAAAAGATATGTTGCAATTTATAGGCTTTAGAAGGTGTTATTCCTTTGTTGGTATTTATAAGTATAGTATATTTTATTTATTTATGATGGGTATTAGAATTATGTCATTTTACAGCAGCTCAGACAATGATGAGTTATGCTGGCATTAAAGTCTCTCTCTGAAATCTGAATATATACTTTTTGTTGTTGTTGTTGATGTTGTTGCTGTTTTGTGGCAGTGCTATCTGCTGTTCTAAATGTAATTTTCATTTTCCAAAATCTGGCCCAAATATCCAAATCCTTGATTTGCAGTTTGCAAGACTTAATGCACAGATCTATTCTAATATATCAGATTTTTTTGTCCCGCCTAAATTCGGGACAAAAAATTAATTTCTAAATACTAGCGTTCATTAAGATCTTATTCTATTATTATTTTTTAACCTGTCTGTATCTTCTATAATAACACGTAGAAGTTGATATTCTAGAATAGTGTACTCCAAGCCATCCCACTGTCCACAACAATATTTAAAGGCCAGCTAGTCCTAGTTTTGTTTTTCGAAACAATTTATAATCTACAGGAACTCATAGTTTCTGTAAATGAAAAAAGTAACTTTTCAAGTTTTAAGAGCCAAATGTTATTCATTTGCCCACTGTTTTTACTCAATAAATTTACATGACTCTTAGTCATTTGTGGTTTTCTGGATAAGGATAAGATAATAATTTCCATATATAGTGTTTGTTCCTTATAAAAAGCCCATGGAGTTTTAAGATTTTCCTAATTTACATGACCTTTCCAGGTATAGAAATCACCCGCATATATACCGTTTTTCTTTGACTGTGAGAGCGTCTTCAACTACTTTTTGTTAAAAGGTGGTAAATTAAAAGAAGAAACTAAATATATTTATCTCATTTAGTTGGTTTAGCTTATTGTATTATTTTGTCTTATTTTAACTAGTTTTAAGTCAATCTGAGGCCCTCTAGGCTCCATTAGCTATTTAGGATCCGGCTGTTCTTTGGTGCCTCTCTTTTGGTTTCCTTACATGCCTCAAAAGAAGGAAGGAAGAAAACTAGAAACACAAAGATTGGTACCATCAATATCATTGTGATTCCTCTGAGCTAAAAGCAACGTCATCAGCTGGTGTCACAGCGAAGCCTCTTGGACCTGCTTAAAAATTGGCATATATTTACAGACATGTCCAATGTTTTATTCTGTGCCAGACAGAAATGTCCGTAATTGATTTATCCAACTAATTTGGTCCAATTTCTCGATTCTTAGCATTATTCCCCGATCTCTGTCACCATTAATGAATTGAGTCCTCAGAGCAAGTGTGGCTAAAAGAAGCTGACACGTACCGTCCCTCTGCCAGCTGATCTTTGGGTAAGGGGTGGAAAATGGCTGCGACTGCAGGGCACAGAGCAAGTACAGGATGGTGCGTCTGTGCCTGAGCTGGCACCGGCGTGTCTGGCAAGCGCTTCAGCCGACATGACGTTCCCGTGAATGCACTGAAGGTGTGAAACAGCTGCACAGCAAGCGCTGCCAGGAGGAAGTAATTAATAAAGACCGCAAGCCTCACCTGCCTTCTCCCGCTGTCTTTCGTCTACTCGCACACACATTGCGTTTGCACCCGTCAGGTGGGCTCTGACGTTCACAGAGTCCATGCAACTGAAATTGGGAAGAAATTTGCTGAGTTTTTGACAATTCCAACTTGAGCGAACTTTTAAAGGAGAGTGTCTTGAAGCACAGGTTTCAGAAGTTTTGGAAAATAGTGCAAGTTATATGATTTGCGTTTATGTAGCGTATTATTGGAGCTTGGCAGTGTGACAATTTATTTCTATTAGGGATGCACCGATACCGATACTGGCCTCCTGTACTCATACTCGTACTCGTTAAAATGCCCCGATGATAATATCAGCTTTGGGATACTGCAAAATATCTAATTTTGTGTTCCACAAATGCAAAGAAAATATACTGATTACAAACAACAGCCAAGTAGATTATTTTTAGGTGAACTATTACTTTAACTTTATTTATTTATTTATATGTGTAAAGTCTGTAATGCTCACCAAGGCTGCATTTATTTTAGCAAATACAGTAAAAAACTGAAATATTGTGAACTTATCACAATTTAAAATAAGTGTTTTCTATTTTAATGTGTTTTAAAATTTAAATTTTCAGCAGCCATCACTCCAGTCATCCAGAAATCATTTTAATATGCTGATTTGGTACTTAAGAAGGATTTTTTTTATTATTATCAATGCTGAAAACAGTTGTGCTGCTTTTGTGGAAACTGATTTTTTTTTTCAGGATTTTTTGAAGAATATAAGGTTTAAAAGAGCAGCATTTACTTGAAATATAAATCTTTTATAACATTGTAAATGTCTTTACTGTAAAATTTGTCCTTGCATAATAAAAATAAAAATCATTTTAAAAAAGGCTCCAAACTTTTGAAGGATAGAGAACTTTTAATACATTCATAGATCAGGACAAAAATTGGGCATCATTTCACTGAGCCATATGGTCACTTAGATATCAACAACTATTCAGTATT